TATTGAGCAGCAAGCAAACAGACCTCTGGACCCTTAGTGTCCCGGTAACAATAGGGAAACCCAAAGATAGCAAAGGATACAAAAACAAGGACACTAGAGGTAACAAGCATTTGGCACCTACAGCTGCAGCAAACATTAAACACAGCTCAGCTCCTAGCCAGATTAACAAAACCTCAAACTAAAAGCCTAATTACCACAGTTCCTGTTACCTAATACATCATGCTTGACTTTCAACCAAAAATTGCAAGGCATGCTGAAAAGGCAAAAGAAAAAAAAATGCCCAACAACAACAAAAAAGAATCACACACACACAGAGTCTGAGGAGATAAGGCAAGCATAGGAAAGAGACTTAAATACGACTCTGATTTTGGAATTATCAGGTAGGGAATTTAAAATAACTATAATTAATGTTAAGGGCTCTAATGGAAAAAGTGAACAACATGCAAGAACAAATGGGTAATGCAAGCAGAGAGCAGAAATATCCATGAAAGAATCAACAAGAAATGATAGAAACAAAAAACATACACTGTAACAGAAATGAAGACTTTGATGGGCTCATCAGTAGACTGGACATGGCTGAGGAAAGAATCAGAGGAAAACATCAGTGAGCTTGAAGATAATGTTAATAGAAACTTCCCAAACTAAAATGCAAAAATTAAAAATAATTTAAAATATAAACACAATATCCAAGAACAGTGGGACAATTACAGGGAACTTTTAGAACCATGTAATTATTCTGTATGATACTGTAATGGTGGATACAATACATTATGCATTTGTCAAAACCCACAGAACTGTGCAATATAGAGTGAACCTCAATGTAAAATATAGACTTTAGTTAATAATAATGTATAAATTGTAATAAATGTACCACATTAATGCAAGATGTTAATAGCGGAAATTGTGAGGGGGAGTGTTAAGGTAGTATAAGGAAACTGTACTAGCTGCTCAATTGTTCTTTAAATCTAAAATGATTCTAAAAAATAAAATCTATTAATTAAATTATTTTTTAGTATCTAGTTTAAAAGAGAGGTTAAGATGAGGTGAAATTGTCCAGAGAAAGTGTCATGAAAGAAGTGAGACTTTAGCCAGGTCCTGAAGGGTATATAGGATTTCTAGAGTTGGAAAGGACAGAAGGCATTTCAGCTGGGATTGAGGCATGAAAAAGTCTCAGAGGGCTCAAATTGCCAAGGAGCAGGAAATAACGCAGAATAAATCAATGCAAAAATAACAAGCAGCAATTTAATGGAAGCTAGGGGCCAAGGTAGGGCTAGAAGCACTGAAGCATCATTCCAGTATTAGATATATATAGGCATGGAAGCAGGCTTGACCTTGGCCGGGTCCTTATACGTATTCATTCATTCAATAAATATTTAGTGAACATTTACTATGTTTCAGACACCGTGGTAGGCCCTGGGGACAAGCAGCGAATAAAAAAAAGAAAGTCACTATTCTCACTGAGCTTACCTTTTAGTGAGGGGAGACAGATACAACCTGCCTCGTATTTTTAAGAAACAGCAAAGAAATTATCGTGGCTGGAATGGAGTGAAGGGGGAAGTAGAAAGTGAAATAGAGGGGAATAACAAGAGCCAGAGTGTGTAGGGCACTGAAGCAGGAATAGATAATGACTCTGGCTTTTACTCAGAGCTTTAGGAAGCCATTGGAGGTTTTTGAGTGGCAGAATAACTTCATTGACACCTGAACAGGGCCATTTGTAAAGCTAGTGCTTACAGACCCCTCGAGTCTGTTGCACAGATTGGGTTACAACCCCTCCACATGAAGGTCAGTGAGCTAAGTAATAGGAAAAAAAAAAAAAAAAAGGTTCTGGGAGCCGGGGGTATACAGAAACGAAGGGGTTTTATTCAGACCTAGGAGCAACTGTCCGAGCGGTTTCCCTGAGAGGTCTGAGAAGCACTGTGGATCAGAGCTGTCAGTCTTTTATACTTAAGTCCACCACCCTGGACACCTGGGTGCCCATACACAATTTACATTAAGTAGTAACAAGGAACACCTGAAGATATTTACAGCAAATGCTTGGCAAGATTCTGCACATCTGAGGGGCCCTGACATTTTCCTATTTTTCCCAACAGCCATTCTATCTCTGTGTTGAGAATTGACAGAGAGGACAAGAGTAACTGCAGGGAGATTGGTGAAGATGTTGTTGCCATAATCTAGGTAAGAGAGAATGGAGGCTTGGACTATGGTTTTCGCAGTGCAAGTGGTGAGAAATAGATTCTGGAGCCTGAAAGGATTTGCTGATGGATTAGATGCGTGAGAGAAAGGGAGGGTCAAATGACTCAGTTTTAGACCTGAGCGACTAAGTCGAGAGAAGAATATGGGCAGAGCAGGCTCATGAGCAGGGCGGAGTTCAGTATCTGAATTCAGCTCAGCTATCTTGAAAGAGGGAATTTCAAAACTAGAGATCAGAGTGAGGCTGAGACGCAGAGCTTCTGAGCAAGACTAAGTCACCTTATGTGCAGGTAATGAAGTTAAGAATTCATTCATTGAACACATCTTGAAATCAACAACTTTTAATGTGCCAGGGGTACCACAGAGATAAATAAGACATCTTCCCTGCCTGGAAGGAACTAATGGTCCAATAAGGCAAACAGAAATATAAATAAATAATTTTTGTACATTAAGAATCATAGTAGAGGTATTCAATATTTATTGAGTCCCTGCTATATGCCAAGCACTGTGATGAGGAAGCAGAAGATATGCACAAAATTCTATAAGAGCACTAAAGAAATTCTTACAAAGGTTTGTAAAGACATTCACAAGGCTTTTCACCACAGTAGGACATTAGGAAGTTGGCAGTAACTTAGATGCCCCATCACTAGGAATATGTATCAGTAAAATCTATGGAATCCTCAGAGGCAGTTAGAAGCAAGAAACTAGGTGTACACACAATAACGTGGATATAGCTGAAAGACAGTGTTGCGTGAAAGCAGCGGGAAACAGATTTACAGTCCAATACCAACTCTAGATGCAAAGGGCATACACAACATACTACCTATCTTAAATTATCAAGGATTTATATCAAACGTATTGTGGTTTGTGTCTAAAGAAGAATGAGGGCGGGGATTGAGAAAGAGGAAGAAAAATAATAAACAGTAAACAATATAAAATAATATAAACAAGAGAGGGGCTTTGTAGAGACTGATGATGACAATGTGCTGAGAATTGAGGAGCAAAGTTAACTCCCTGCACCTGAGGTAAAACAACTAGCTGATAGAGATCAAGCTGATAACTTTAAGGGGAAAGATATTTATGAGGTCCCAAAAGTACGTGCAGAGACATGAAGGCATGAAAGTGCATCATAGGTTCAGGCAACAGCGCCAGATTGAATGTGGCTTGTAATAAAGACAGTTGTGAAGAGACAGCCTGTTCGAAAGCCCTCGGTAAATTGAACATCTTACACATGGAAGGAACAGTCATTCTGATCAATATGTCCCCTTTTACTACATCGAAGTTAAAGATATGCTGTGCTCCCATGTAGCCTACAGTAAGATTCTCTTTCAGCGCTGTTGGGGTCTCCGCATCTTGTGACTATTCCAAAGACCCTAGTCTAATAGGTCATTCCTGTTTTCTATGGCCTCAAGGAATGTGGCCCTTGATCCACTCCTTTAAAGCTGAAATTCCATTAGCAACAATGTTGCTGCTATGACTGGGAATGGAGGTGGGGAATTGCAGGCCCACCAAGGTCTCTCATTCTGGGCCACTTGGCTGGGGCGGTGTACCCCGGCTCTGCCAACTCAGTGCTGCAGTTAACTCTGACCTGTCACATTCCAGCTGGAATCATTTCCCCTTCTCAGGCTACCCCTCCCCCACCCCAGATTGGGTCCTGTCCCACTATGATAGGTGTACCTATTCTTCGTAGCCCTTATCACAGTTCGCAGTTGCAACTCACATTTTTTTTTCATGGTAATTTGATTTATGTCCATCTACTCTAGGTCCCAAGTTCAGTGCTGGCAGTCTCGCTTTTTTTTTTTTTTTTTTTTTGGCGGCTGGCCAGTACGGGGATCCGAACCCTTGACCTTGACCTTGGTATTGTAACACCGCGCTCCAACCAACTGAACTAACCTACCAGCTGTCTTTTCTTTTTTTACTCATCAGTGCACTTCGTACAATGCCTAACATGTGGTAGGCGCTCGGTAAACTCAGTTGTATACAAGCTTCCCAGACAAATGGAACATGGGTCAAGATGGATACAAGCAGGGTGCAGAGGCGGGAATAAGAGTTAGGGTTTGTTCTACTGTAGAGGGTAAATGCGGGGAGCTGCAAGGAAAAGGTGCACCGGCCTCTGTAGACAGGTCGCGTGACTGCTACACACATGCCCACCCCACCCTCTGGTACAAGGTGGGCATACAGTAGGGGCGGAAATGAACTTTAAAGAAAATGACAAGTGCGTAACACATACTTCTTTAAATGTATGCCAAGTAGAAGTACGAAAATAAAATGAAGAAAGGGGAGTATGTGGGTTCGTGCTGAGTCTGAGGAAGGCCTATCCTTTCCAGAAGTCCTTACACATTGCATAGCCCCCAAGGGCACAGGATGTATCCACAGGACAGCCGAAAATCTCTAAGGATCACACAAGCCTGGGTCATCGTGGTTGCCACTGTTCCAAGACTTATCCAATCTAATTCTTCACCTTTATTCTTGTCCCCATTCCACCTCCAGTTCAATCAGGCTTAGCGCTACTTTGACAAAAAACCAAATCAAATATCCCCCTCCAATCCTAGCCGGGCCGAGCTCGAATAACTGGACACAGTTGGTTGCTAAGGGAGGCTCTTTCCCACGCTTCCGCTTGCCTCTCTACAGAAACGGTTGCTCCGGCCCTCGTCAGACGACGCGAGGCGGCGGGACCGGTCGCTGCCCTTCCCGCCTTCCAGGTCTCCACCGAGCCAGAGCACGCCCAGCCCGGGGGACTAACGTTAGACCGGCTCCCCAGCTGGTTCCCAGCATTGCGCATGCGTGCGCTCCTCGGCCCGCTAGGAGGAAGAGGGCGGGGCCGAGGGGGCCGAAGGCGGCGGCAGCTGGGTATCGAGCGCCCGCAGCCCACCTCTCGGGGGCGGGCTCCCGGCCGCAAGCAGGGCCGACGAGAAGATGGAGGAGCTAGTGGTGGAAGTCCGGGGCTCCAATGGCGCTTTCTACAAGGTACTTCGCTCTATGGCAGGCTCCATCTTCGCCCTCCCTTCCCTCCCTTTTCTTCTCGGCGTCGGCGGGAGGCAGGCCTGGGGCCCTCTTCCCAAGAGCCGCGCCCGGGGACCCGGGCACGCTCGGCGGGATGTTGTTTGGGAGGGAAGGACTGGACTTGGGGCCTGTAGGAAGACCCTGGAACCCCGCTCCGTTTCCGACGAGAGGCCCCGGCGCCTATTGGAATGAGAAACAAGCGAGAAGAGGGTGCCCTTTCGGGGCCAAGCCCCTCCAGGGAGAGTTGGGGATGGGCGAGGGCCCGGTGACAGGTAAGAGATCCCGGCGGGAAGGGCCGGAATCGGCGCTAAGTGAGGGCGACGGCTTATTCCTCCTTTGCTAAATATCCTCTCCCAGTGGGATCCAGCCTGACGTGTGGGTAGTTGTGGAGGAGCGGGGGGCGCTTCAGGCGGGCCGCCTCCTGCCTCACCGAGAGGGTCAGGTCTCCTTTGGCTCTCTTTCCCAGTCCAGCATCGGGACTAAGGAGAGCTCCACTGTTCTGGGCGAGGGGTGTGGAGAAAGAGTAGTAAGAAGCAATAGTCAGCACCAAATCACAATGGCAACTGATTCCGAGTGGCCTCTTTTTGTGGACACAGAGGAGATTTTAGACCCAAAAGTTTCAGGAAGACCCTGACATAACCAAGCAATGCATTCAAGAAGTTGATCATCGTGAATATTCGCGGGCCTCTCCCTTTTAATAAAAGGGGGTAAATTCAGGAATATAGATGCTTGGGCGTCTAAAAACATAAGCAACTCTGCTGCTTAAAAATTTGTGTGTGTGTGTAAGTCTCCAAAGACCTGAATATGTGTCACGAAACTTCAGGAAATTAGCAGAGTATATTACTGCTAGGGGTTTTAAAAACTGAGTGGAAGTATTTGTTTTGTGCTCTGTAGGACTTGACCATATTCTCTTTGAATTCGTAGTGTTGCAGTGGATTGTATTGTTGAGGTTTTAAACAGGCATTCATGGATTTAATGTGTTTCTAAGTTACACCATTGCAGATCAAGTAATTACATTTTTAAAAGGAAGACTAAAAAATACTTTGTAGCTGTAGCGGTAGTACATTTGTTGGCATTTGTTAGATCTAGAAATCTGCAAATTCTGGTTTCCTGTTGAATGTCTTTAACTTCTATAAGTAATATCCCACCTTATTACAGTTTTTTGGCAATAGAATGTGCACGTGGAAGTGTGGAAAATAGCCATTACCATTGTCCAACACAATTCTTAAATTTATTATAGGATAACTTGAACGTTTCAAATCGGACACGTTTGGCTATAGGAAAATAAACAATTGATTTATTTGACATATTATGTGTTTACCAATTTTATAGAGACATTTGGAGATAAATATATTTCATAAATGAGTAAAGTGTGTAAACCGTTCCATACTTTTAGCAAAAAGGTGAAACCTTTTGATGTAAAAGGAGGGAAAAAAAAAATAACCCAGCATTTATGTTCTTAACAGTCTCATCAATATAGAATTATTTTAGTTGACTGTGCGGTCAAAATTTTAGTTGCACTTATTTCAATGATTCATAATTCCTACTCGTTAGTTTGTGTAGAATCATTCTGGGTCCTAGATTAGTTGTTTTGGTCACTAGATTTGTGGCCCTAGCTATGATATATATGTGAGTAGGGGCTAATGGTTAAACAGTATTCAAATTGATCTGTGAAAACAGCTTAGATTGGACACCACTCTTACTGTCTTTTAGTGAAGTTTGCTAGCCCTAGAGGGCAAGTGGCACATCCTTGTCTTGAAGGATTTATTGTTCTCTTCCAGCAACCTATGATTTGCTCCAGTGACTTTGCTTACAAACTGACTGTAATACAAGAAATGCCCTCTACCTTTGCTGTCAATCCCCCCCTCCCTTTTTAAACAAAGTTGCTTAATTTGAAGGTTTATAAAAAAGAATGGGTTGTCCCTTAGTTCCCTGATAGGAACTGTAGTACTTAAACAAATGTATGTGGAGAAATTGCCATTATGTTTATTTTAGGTTGTTTTTTAAGAAAACCTCAAATAGTCTGTATTGATGGAAAATGTTTCTATAATGAAAGAGGTTTAAAATTTTATATGACTTACAATGTTGCTGTGAGTTATAAAAGTAAAGCAAAAGTAAACTAAGTTGCTTGTCTGGTGGGATGGACAGGAAATGTTGGCAATAAAGACCAGTGAGAAAAGAACTACTATGGAGAAGTGTTACATTTATGAGAAAAAAAACCGGGGGGGGGGGGCGGGGGACTTCATGAAATTTATAGAAAAGCCTTAAAAATTAACCAAATCAAATGACTTCAGTATAATTGAATTCAGACTTTGATTTGCCTAACAGAGCCACTGTATTCCAAAGAACAGTTCTCCATCTTCTGAGCACAATGTCCAAGTTTGCAATATAAACTGGATAGAGTATTTGCTGGGGACTGTTTAATTCTTTCTCTAAAAAATAAACTCAGAATTCAGAATGAACAGAATCATGAAACCTATACTCTACGTTTGTAATCGCTGTCTTCTGTTTTTTTTTACCCCCTCTGGTGCTTATATTTAAATGCTTAAAAGTTAGATTTAGTAATCACCAGATTCCTGACTTTTATGCGTAGGTATTTCTTTGACTTAGAAAAAGTTGTCACATGTACCACTTACAGAGACCTACAGCTACATTTAAGACATGAAGACACTTTGACTGAGACCTTATAAAATCTTTAGAAAGCATTTCCTAAATGAATAATGTTGAAACCAAGTCTTTATTCTAGGGGAATGTGCCCCAAATAATGTAATTTTCTTTGGACTAGGACTTTTGATGTGTTGAGAATGGTAATGAATTTAAATCCATTTTAGATGTGAAATGCATGTCATTCCAATATGAATGCACTAATATATCCTAAGATTCCTAGGTTTTGTTTACTAGTATGAAAAATACTAAAAATGCATAAATCATATGTTGGAGACATACAAAACCTTTTTTGTTTTCTGAAAATGTAGTGGCTGATATCTGATTCATTATTTTAATATGGTGTAATTATGCTAGATTATAACTTTATAGTGAGATTATACTTTAATATATTTTACATGTTTAAATTTGGTATCTGAGTACAGACTTTCATTTGGTGAATATTATGGTAGCTAGCAGCTAAACATCATGAAATATTCAATCCAGGAAATTTTTTTAATGAAGACATTAGTGGCCTAACATTCATTTTAGTTGCATAGCCTGCTAGAGATCACAGTTTTACTACAAATAAACTTCCATAAGGTTTATAAATTTATAAGTTTATAAGTAAACTTAGATTCATGTTTTCTCTGAACTCTCTCGAGCTAGTGTTGAATAGAGATGTTACTCTGTACTTCAAGGAAGTGAGTTATTCAGATCAATCACATTTTTTTTTCTTCCCAGAGTCTAAATACCCTTTAGTGTCTTTGTTGATTCATCATTTTTCTCCTTCTGAACTCTGCATTTTACAACTCCATACTCAAGTATTCTGATAACCTCCAAATTATTAATTAAATGCAAAAATTCAGTGGTATAGTATTTGGGTTTCTGATTTCTGCCCACTGTGGAAATGTGCTTCCTGAAATGATTGGGATCATGATTATAATAACACAGAGAAGTTAGGTTAGTGACTTGCTATTAAGTGTCAAATTTGGGATTTGAAATCAGGCATCTAACTTCCTAAAATAATGAAATTTAGCTTGAAGAAATTAATTGGATTTGACTTCTTGCCCATTTTTCAATTTTATTGTGATCTCTGATTGTATTTGTTACTGTAACACTGCCTTAGCATCCTATAACTACTCTTTCAAATTTATATTACCATTTTTTTACTGTTGATAGAAAGATGTCATGAAGTATTCCGCTTATGTATCAGCTTCCTTTTTTATTAACTCTTGCATCTTGACATATTACACTGTAATTCTTCATATGAATTTCTTTGTAGGAATGGGAGCTCATAAAAACTGAAGTATTCAAAAGTTAGAGTACATACAAGCAAGGAGAAATTAATGACTCATTTAGTACTTTTTTTTTTGTACTTGTATTGTCTTTTGGTTAGGGTGAACGAGAAAGAAGTGTTTTTATCTCAGAATTTGTGGTAAATGCCCATATGAAGTCAAATATTCCTGGACATGTGGTGTGGTTGGAAGGACTGTTGATGAGTTTTATTGTATTTTTCCCTTTCTATTTGTTCATTCCCTTACATACAACAGGGGACAAAGTGATAACTCCCTTTATATATGAAGCCTTGGGTTTGAATTGTATTTTATGTCCCTAACGTCTTCCTACCTCCTTCAAGTTTTCTTTAGGAGGGATATTTTACAATATTGTAAGTTTGCTCCAAGGAGATTCATCATATGTAGAACGTTACATGTTCTGTCTTCAGTAAGTGATAGAAGCCAATTGATGATGTAGTAGTTGTGTTCCGTGGTAGTGAGGGGCTTACATTAAAACTTCTATGCACAGTAACCTCTCTCGTGACCAATGGCTCCTATTTGTAAGATAGTTTGCCAAACCAAGGGGTGTAAGGTGTAGTAGGGGAGTAAGTTTACCCCAGTAGGAATGGTCTGTCTTCACTTCATCAATCTTGGTAAAGTAATGTTTGAATTGGATTGCTCTAGTCATTACATACTTTGGTAAGTATGATTTTGTGATTTCCTCTTTGGTCCAGTTGCCAGTAAATTGGGGGTCCCATATTTTTTTTTATTTCCTGATTATTCCCCCTGACAGAGAACCTGTATCTGTTTTTTGTTTGTTTGTTTGTTTTTTGGGGGGGATTTGTTTTGTTTTGTGGTGGCTGGTGGGTGCAGGGATCCGAAACCTTGACCTTGATGTTACAAGGCCATACTCTAACCAACTGTGCTAACTGGTCCACCCTTGTTTTTAACTGTACTTTATCACCTTTCTCAAACCCTAACTATTTTTGTCACTTTTTTTTCTTCCCAGCGTCTAAACAACCTTTTAGTATTTTAATATATTTGTGGAAACATCCTTTTCTTTTTCCATATCTCAATTTTTAAAGTTTTTATTAAGTCTGCTTTTGTTGGGGTGTAACTTTCCCAAATGCAAGATAATTTATGGTCCTGCGTCTTTTATGAAATATGCACCTCTCTACTTTATCTCTTATTTATTTAGTGCCACTTATGTGTGTAATTTCATTAGTCATAACAGCCTTAGGAGGCTGGTCCAGTTTCTTATTTGCAGATGAGAAATCTAAGGTCCAGAGAACATTTCTTGGAGAGTCACACAGCTAGTATGTGGTAGAGCCAACATTTTGAACCTAGGTCTGATTGACAACAAAACTCTGAACCGACTGAGTTTACTGACTCCCATAAGGGCCTTAGCTCTCATCCAATACAGTGTAGCTCCCTTTGTGCATTTATTCAGACTCATTCAATATGACTGCGTTGGAAACCTCTTAGGAATCTCCTTAAATGAACTCCACAAACATCAACTTTGATAGGTAGGGATCACAGCAAAATGTAGTTTTCCAAGTTGGTGGTGAGTGAGTTGGTAGTGCTCTAGGGGTGGCCAGAGAATGAGGGTATGAATGCGTGTATGTGGGGGTGGTAAGGGAAGGGGAAAGACAAGGGAAGGGTTATCGGAGAAAGAATGCTGAAAAGCAAGATGATCAAACTGTTGTTGGAGTGATGGTTTAGTAAAAGGCCTTAGAACTCACAGGAAGTACTTGTACTTGGAGTGAGTGCAGGCCAGAGGCAAACTATGAGTTTCTTTTATTTCATTTATTAAAGCAGCAATCAGCAGGCATTACATGCTTTCTGTTTTTACTTAATATGCAAACAATGACTACAAAATGATTTTGAAACAATCATGCAAATATCCTTATAAAGATAAGCTTCATTAACATGAAGGCAGTGGCCCCCATTTCTGACTCTACATCTGAAATTGCATTGAGTGCCTGCTGGAATTGTTTTTTTTTTTTTTTTTGAATAGTCACAACACTCAACACTTAACAGATTTTCTTCCTTCGAGGTAGAGATAATGTTTAATTTTTAGGAAATAGGCAAATGTGGTGAATAAATATGATCAAACTAAGAAATAACTTTTAGGCAAATAGAAAAAAATATATAGCAATGTAATACATTTTTACAGTGACTTTTAGAGCGCCTTTATGATGGGTCTAAAAACAGTCCCAAAAATTTGTGAATGTTTTAAATCAGTGCTGTCCATTATAGTAGCCACTAAGCCATATGTGGCTATTGAGCACTTGAAATGTGGTGAGTGAATGGGAGAATGATTTTAATTTCATTTAATTTTAATTAATTAACAGATAAATAGCCACATGTGACCAGAGACTATCATAGCGGATAGCACAGTTTTAGACAAGGGCAATACTATTAGAAAGACACTGTAACAAGGTTCTATTAGCTGACTAAAGGACTTAATGTTTTCAGAATATAATATACAGTAAGAAACTAATGTTAATTATTGCCGAGAATTGCAAACATCATAAAACTTCAGACAAGGATAAAGCAAGAAGCAATGGCCCTTCTTGGTAAATGAGGGATCACTCACCCCCTAATAGGAGTCTTGATTTTAGTTGGTGATCTAATACTATCCCCAAAAAGCATTTGTTAATTTGATATTAACCATTATATAAAGACAAGGGAGAAATGGGGACCAGGAGGGATTTTCCTTCATATTCTCTATAATTTTTACAACTTAGTTTGTAAAACTAAGAGCCTAAGAAGGACCAATTACTGCTACTTTAGCCCCAAATCAGGCCTCTTTGTTGCTAATGTAATGAGGCAAACAATCCCTTAGAGTACTGGAAGCATGCACCCTTATGAAATCTAGTATATTCTGAAACATCATGGTCAGTATTAAACTAGAATTTTCAAAACATGTTGTAGAAAATGTATTTTATAATATAGCTGAATAAAAGTAAGCGAGATCAAAATGATAGGAAGAAAATGTGAATTTTTTCCCTCTTTAAGCCAGCAAGTATAATGATATATATACCCACACTTAACTTAAAAGTAATAATTTAGGGCCGGCCTGGTGGCGCACTGGAGAGTGCGCCGCTTGGGAGCGTGGAGGCGCTCCCGCCGAGGGTTCGGATCCCATGTGGAGACCTGTTCCCGCTCACTGGCTGAGCGCGGTGCGGGCGCAACACTGAGGGTTGCAATCCCGTTGCCGGTCCCCGGTACGGGCGTGACACCGAGGGTTGCGATCCCGTTACCGGTCAGTAAAAAAGACAAAAAGGAGGAAAAAAAAAAAAAAAGTAATAATTTAGCCACCTCAGATATAGCAGAATACACGAATGCTGTTATTGGCCACCTCTATCTTACAGGGAAACTTTCTTTTAGCATTTTATTCATTTAAGCATTGTTGCAGAAGTTTGGTTCTCTTTAAGTTGCCTCCATATCAATGTTTTCCAGGGCCCTACTGCAGCTTCCATAGTTTTTCTTAGGAGCAGCTAATTAATGCTTAACTCATATGCTTAACTCAACTTTAACTTGATGTTTCGAGAAGTTTCATTTTCTAAAAGAATCCTTTTACATCAGATCAGGAGTTTGAAGACATATTTGTTTATCAAGACATTTGCGTTGAATCATTTGTCTATTTAAAACATTTATTGGGTATCCACTATGCCAGAAATTGTGCCAGTTACTGAGGATACAGGAGTTAAAGAATGGTCCTAATCGAAACTACTTATCTTCCCAATGTGTAATATGGATATTCAATGTCCAAAGTCATGAGGATTTACTACTATGTTTTCTTCTTAGAGTCTTATAGTTTTAGCTCTTACATTTAGATTTCTGATGCATTTTACTTGATTTTTGTATGTAGTATGAGTTAAAGGTTGAAATTTATTCTTTTGTATGTGGATATCCAGTTTTCCCAGCACCATTTGTTGAAAACATTTCTTTCCCCATTTAATCGTCTTGGTCTCTTTGATAGATGATTTATTTCTGTCATAACCCAAGCTATTTCTCATTGTGTAAGCTTTGTGCCTGCTGTCCCTTAGGCCTGGTGGAATGCCTCTTTATCCTCTACTCCCTTTTGTTTGGCTAATTCTTTCTCCTTTAAGCTTCAGTAGGAACCTCACCTTCTTCAGTATGTCTTCTTTTATCAACCTACCACTACCATCCACATACATACTTCTTCCCTAAGGCTGAGATAGGAACCTCTTAGGCAATGATCCATTTAGTAACTATTCATTGAATTCATAGGAGGCACTCTGAAATACAAGTGTGCTTCAAAAATTTGGGGGGAAATACAATTAAAAGATAATATGAATATCCCCATGAACTTTTTGAAGTACCCTCATATAGTTATGAATAAAATAAGACCTAACACCACCATCAGGAAGCTTACCCTTAGGGAGAAAATGGGCAGTACTAAATAGTGGGGTAAGTTTACAGTAGGGATAAGCATAGGATGCAATGACAATGCAGAGGGTAGGAGTCTATTTAACCTATACCTGGGTTTTTCCATAGAAGGTGACATCTGAACTGAAACCTAAAAGACCAGTAGGAGATAGCTAGGTTAAAAGGGGGGAAGGACAATAGGAAAAAAGGAATAGCATTTATGGACAGAGGCCCAGAAACTACAGAGTGTGGCACAAAAGTAGTTTAGCATGGCTGGGTCACAAACTTTAGGGATGCAAAAGATGAAGGTTGGAGAGGTTGGGGGAGAGGTGCACCAGATCCCTAAGAGCATTTTACAGACAGAGAAGGAGTTTGTCCTTGGTCCTGCAGGCCGAGAGAAACCACTGAAGGAAAGAAACATTTACAGAACAATTTTGAGTAAGAAGTTTAAATCTCTCCAAACCATTTGAAAATGAGTTAAGACATAAAGCCCTTTGGGTTTCTTTATGCTTTATTCTATTCTTCTAAATGTCAAAACAAACAAAAACAAACCCAAACCCTCCTTTTTTGCACCGACAAAAACTATCTTATAGAATTACGGGAAGCATGCTAATTAAAGAATTCTTGATAGTTGGTGTGCTATTACTTTTGTTCTGTCTTTCTGCAGATTACTAGCAATTGTGTCATCAGATTTAAGATGTAAATCCCTGGACTCTATATTATTTTTTTCTCCAAGTGCCTGTGAGATTGAGAATTTAATTAAACTCTAGTAATTGAACTTTTTAGTGTTATTTGCCACATATGGTTGTTAAAGAAAATTTAGTATACTTGTGTATACATATATTTGAGATTGTATTCGATCATTTATTATTCTAAAATTTTATTAAACCGGAAAAGATAGGGTATAGCAGATTTGCACTGGCTGACATACGGCTCTGGAACAAGTTTCTTAGTTTACAATAATTCTAGCCTAAAGCGTACCTTGTTTGCACTCACCAGCACATTGTGATTAATGAATGGACGGTCCTCAAAAAAGTGACTTTCGTTGGAAGTTCCATTTTATTCTTAAGTATAAAATGTTCGGTATCTCTGTAAAATTTAGAAACAGAAATGATTTTTAAGCTTAAAGGTTTATTTAACTGGTGTTTTTCTTACAGGCATTTGTAAAGGATGTTCACGAAGATTCAATAACAGTTGCATTTGAAAACAAGTAAGTGTCTTAATATATAGTCTTAATTTTCAGGTTCTTTAATATTTTATGCTAATTATTTTTTTATTCTTTATTTTATAAAATTCAAGTCAACTTTGAGTGTTTTTCAGGAACTGACCTTCATGTTACTGACCAAGAAGTTCCTGAACAACTCAGTATTAAACCAATGGACTGTGCCTGTTAATCACGTCAGAAGTCCTTATTGTATAATCTTGATGCTTACATCTCAGTACTCTTGAATGTAAAGAAAGGAACCAGATTTTTCTGTGTTAGTAACTGAGAGTTTGGCTAGAAATAGTTGTAATTTTTAAAAGAAAAAAAATGAGGGGATTCATGGGTATTGGTAAAATGTGATTATATCACAGATTTAGCATTAAATCTAAAACTGATGGTTTTAGTTGTCAAATATATTTTATCACAAATAATCGCGTTTACCTACTAACTTATTTTTTATGTTTCATATATTTACAGTCAGTAATAGCAGTAGCTGATCTTTCCTGCTTTCTTTTGCTAGATGAGAAAATAAAAATACTTATAGGCCTGGAAAGTTAGCTGTATGAAAGCATCAGTAGTATAGATGTTAACAATTTTATTGGGGGAGACATCTCTGGACTAAATGTTTTGAATACTAATAAAGGCTATTTTCATAGTAGCCATTCAAGATTCTAAAGTATATATAAACTCCTTAGCCAAAGTGTAGATTTGACCATGATCTTTTGCTGAACTCTGATGAACAGTTGATAGTTCTAATGTTTTGGCTTATATGTACCAAGAGAATTAACAGTATATCAGAAGCAGGCCACAAATCTACAGAGACAGAAAGTAGATTAGTGGTTACTTAGTGCTGGGTAGGGGGGAATGGGATGGAGGCCATGGCTAAAGAATACAGGATTTTGTTTTGAGGTAATTAAAATGTTCTAACATTGACTAATAATATTTGCAAATATCTGTGAACATACTAAGAACCATTGAATTGTACATTGAAATTGGTACATTATACAGTATGTGAGTTATTTCTCAATTAATCTGGTAAAATGTAGTTTGTTACCCAGACAGATTGAGCAATAAATAAAAAAATGTCTGTCTTCTAAGAAAAAAAAAAATTAAAATCAGGCCTGCATGTCAGTGTCTAGAAAATAAATTTTGTAATTAGGCCGTTAGCAGATTCTTTTAGCTAGCAACAGGACAAAGTAGTATCCTTAGATACCCGAGACACATTTAGGGGACAGACATAAAAGGATTGAGAGTATCCAACCCTATTCCGAGCTCTAGACTAACAATCTCAGTCTAAAATACAAGTTTGAATAATAGAATGCCTTTCTTTGAATACACAAAGCCAAAAGTTCCAGAATTTGCCTCTTTGCTATTTCAAGTATCCATGGTTATACAACAGACAATAAAATCATACTTCTAACAGAGGAATCTTTGATAATGTGGAGAGTAATTTTTTCTTGTAATTATGCTCTTATCTACTTACTCCCATCACTAGGTAAAAACTGTTTCTCATAAAGGGAGAGTTATCTTTATTTGCCACTCTTTTAGTTTCTCCTGTAGTCTGAAATATAAAGTATTAAGGAAACACTCTTTTTCTCTATGCATTTAAGAATGTGTCTAGTTTGTACATGGATTTATTAGATTAATTCTCTTTGGTTTACAGTCAGATTTCTACCATAAACTTGAAATTATTTCATCTGTGGACCTCCTAATTATTTACTTCCTTTACCATATCTGTGTGAAAGTTTCTCTTCAAACTATCATATTGGGAATTTCAAATAGATCAACTCTTTTTCCTTGAATTCATGGGGTATGTTTGAGGTACAACACTGGGGTAGGGCACATCACCAGGATTTAATAGGTCCCTACCAAAGTAGTCTCTTTGCCCTTCCTTGTGTGTGTGTGTTTTTTTTTTTCTGATTAAAACAAACAAACAAACAAACAGCGTTTTATAGAACTTCAGGTTTATATTTACTCTTTTTTTCCTTTCAATCATGAAGTAACTCCTGTTACTATAATACTAGATTACTTGAGGTGCTATTTTAAAAATAATTTGGAGCTAAGAAAATAATTATATTATGCATTACAAATGAAATTTAGCAAATTTGTAATGTGATAAGTCATTAATTTTCAGTAAGTATACAAAGGCTTTTCTGAAGTAAATTTTTTTAAAATTTTATAGCTTTCAAGTATGTATAATAATTCAGAGGAAGAATTCAGTCTAATTTATGCCCTAATCAGATTTCCACAAAATCTGACTTATTTGCCCTCTTGTATAAGAGCTCTTCTTTAAAAAACAAACAGAAAACAATTAGCACTTTCCTCAACGGGATTTTATTAAGAAAGCCCTTCTGCAAAACATTGACATTATACATAGCACAGTCTCAGTATTTCCCAATGAAACACCACGAAACAAACCCAGAAATGCCTGCTCTAGCAATTGAATTCTTCAATGTATTTTCAAAGTTAGTCATTTAATATTTTATATCTTTGTGGATATAAAAGAATAATTTGGTGTCTTTCAAAGTTGTTCCATATCAATTTAAATTAAAAACATAGGCAACTCAATTAAACTCCTATAGGCTGTCTCCATCGGGTTTCTGTGGTTTAGGAGACCCCACCAGCCCAGTGCATGCTGATATGTCATCAGCCGCTACCCATGGCAAGAATTGACCACCTCGTGGGATCTAAAATTTAACAGGGGTAAAGTGAGTTGTGAATTGCTAATGTGCTGACTGCCCCCATATTGCTTGGGAATTAGAGGGCAGTTTCTGTGGTTGTTGGAATGTGGTTAAAATTCCTTTGCAAGTAGAAATATGTTGATAATATTACTAACAATTACTGATACTAACATCTTTAATTTAAACATCAAAGGAAATTTCTGTTGTGGCTTACATTTAAAACTATTAGAAACTGAAATTATTGGAAGAGAGACTTCTTGAAAATCATAATGTTGATCTCTTGTATTTAGAGAAATATTCCAAATGGAACTACAAGGCTGCTGTGCTGCATGCAGACTTTGTTGAAATATCTCTGTATTGCCATTATGACCCACTCAGCAAAAACTGACCATTTTAAAGCATTTGCTTCTTTAAACTAGAAAAAGAGGGTCACACTTAACCAAAAGTTGATGGCAGCGTGGTCATTGTTTCAGTTAAACATGAAAAGTGTGTTAAATAATTGTATGTTTGCTTATTTGCAGCTGGCAGCCAGAGAGGCAGATTCCATTCCATGATGTGAGATTCCCACCTCCTGTAGGTTATAATAAAGATATAAATGAAAGTGATGAAGTAGAGGTGAGTTTCCCCTACCATAAGGTTATTACGTATTGAAGGAGTGGGGGTATTTAATTTGCCTGTGATTTTTTTTTTTTTTTTTTGCATCTCGTCCTTAACACTGTTTAAAATACCTTGAGAATTATAGCTCAGATGGATATTTGTTTTTGACTAACACTTCTTAATGATTTGAAATCATACATGATGCTTAAATTTGGCTATTTGAAAGTCACTTCCCCAAGTTCCTTTCCCCACTAGTACTTCTTTTCTCCCTTTCCTCAATCTCTGAATATTTGTTTGAATAATATGTTGTTCGTTTACAACTGTGTTTTCATTTTAAGCAAAATGGATTAGGAAAATTAATTTTACAAAGGACAGAAATTATGCTTTATTGTAGAGCAGTATCTTAGAATTTCTTTTAAGTTACAGTGAATCTTCATGGTGTATTTTTTATATATAAACTAAAACTTTTATAGGTAAAACCTTTTTCACAGGACAGACTATGGACCACCTGCTCCTCTGCCATTGAGCTCTTTGAGCAAAGGGTGCTACGGAGATCTAACACATTGTGATTTCTCTATCTTTGGAAATTGGTTTTGTACTTAAGGCACTTTTAGTCTGCTTTATGTGATAGTTTGTATAGTGTCCTCTATCTGCATCTACCCTTTCACACACTCCATTTTGAGCTGCTTCTCTTCTTTCTCCACAATACATGTTAATAGTTGCAACTTCATGAATATTTGTAGTATGAAGGAAACTGCTAAGTAGATATTTGTACAGGTAAACCAACGTGGTACTAGATTCTTGAATTCTAATTTTCTGTGCTACATAAAGGTGCAGTTAAACTGGACAGAGTCCCCTGCCTTTGATGAGGTCACACTGTAGTAAGGATAGCTAATATCATGACAGACGTAAGTCATATGAAGGAAAAAAAGCAAGAGGATAGATAATGATGTAGGGGCAGGAGTGCTGTTTTAAGAGTGGTCAGGGAAGGTCTCTGAATGTCCAGGCCTGTGTTCTTTTCTCTACAGTTTTAAAGTAGAAATAGGATAAAGTATTATTTACCAAAAATGTACTCAGTACCTACCAGTTATAAGAAACTGAGCTTGGTTTTGCACGGCTCCTAATAAGGAGCAGAAATCCTGTCTGTACTTCAAGACCCTTAGCTGTCCATTTCCCCAGGGGACTACAAGCTCTGTAAAGGCAGGGACCAGGTCTTTTGGTCTGTCTGTATCAGGAGTACTCATAGTAGTGTTTGATGAAGACATAAAGGGTACTTTATTTTCAACTTACTCATATGACAAGTGGAGAACAGTGCAACACCATTGCCAGGATGACCACACTGTATTAAATAACAATGAGCTGAACTGTTACTCTGGCTAGAGCAGAGTTGAGAGAAAGTGATGGAAGCTGGAGGGAAAGGTAAGTTGTATTAAGTCACTGTATTGTATAGTCAGCCCTTAGTATCCTTGGGTTCAACTGCATTCGTGGATTCAACCAACCGTGGATCAAAAATATTTGGGGGAAAAAATGGATGGTTGCATCTGGTACTGACCATGTGCAGAGTGTCCATGGATTTTGGTATGCGGGGGGGGGGGGGGGGGTCCTGGAACCAAACCCTCATGGATACTGAGGAAAACTGTATGCCATTAACTTGAGTTGTAAAAAGGAGACAAGCATTTTAGCCTTGGCTTGCTTATCACTCTTAGACTCTCTAGCTCTCTCTCCCATCTGGACCTCTCTGTCCCATCCCCCTTGTACTTCCACTACTCCTTTCTGCTTCTGAGTATTTCTGTCCCTCTCTCTTCATGTATACCATATTGTCTCTCTATCTATTAATGTTGGTTTGCTAGTATCTTCTCAAAAGGTTTCTTGCTACACATTATAAGTGAACTGTGAAGTGGTCACCAGAGAGATCAGTTAGAAGAACTGATCCACAGTGTGTGAGAGAGCAGGAAGGTGGTATCCAGAGGATTGCAAATATGGAGTCATCCTTTTAGTGGAGAGGAGGCAGGAGACATGAAAGTGACCAAGGATCTGTCCATTTAGTCCCCGGGAGACATGAATGCCACTTAGTGGACTGAGTGGTCAATGGTCTTACCCATTCAGTGATCAAGCACCTAGGCAGTGGGCCGGGGTCACTAATTCCCAATCAGTTTTTGCTTATTAGCATAAAACAAAGTAAGTTTATACATTTTTAGCTCATTGAGTATCCAAGGAAAGTATTCCCTTGTTTATGAATGGTCAGCTTCTCTTGAGCATCGTGTTCAGAGTACTAATTATTACTGAAGTAAAACAGAGAAATAGGAAAACTGCTTCTTACAGGCAGCTCCCAGGCAAACTCAGGTAGTTTCTGCTTATATATCTCTGCCCAGCTCAGGGTACATAGACAGTGGTACAGTCTGCTTGAAGGTATATGGCATACGATTTGAAAGGCACCTAGGGGCATTTTAAGAAAATTTCCTTGATGTCTGATAATCTGTAGCTTTCAAAATTATGTTAATCACGAAATATTCTGTGTTGTAATTTTTGTGTAGGTTTATTCCAGAGCAAATGAAAAAGAGCCTTGCTGTTGGTGGTTAGCTAAAGTGAGGATGATAAAGGGTGAGGTAGGAAAATGCTTATTTAAAATTTTTTTCTTATACTATTTTGCTTTTCTAAAGCCAGGTTCTACGTTTCAATCTGGATTTCTATTTTAAATAATATCTAATTTTAGCCATTTTATTAAACTGTTCTCACTATGTGTTCAGTATGTTTTATGTGTTTCGGTTGGTTCAAGTTTTCTTTTTTCTCTAGAGAATTTATATTAAAGTAACTGAATTAATATAGTTTCTTGTTCTTTATAAACTGTGACTAGGAATGACTTATTTATTTCTCTCAGTTTTATGTGATAGAATATGCAGCATGTGATGCTACATACAATGAAATTGTTACAATTGAACGTCTAAGATCAGTTAATCCCAACAAACCTGCTACGAAAGATACTTTCCATAAGATCAAGCTGGATGTGCCAGAAGACTTACGACAAATGTAAGTTGGTATGCAAGGAATGTTGAAAACTCACAGGTGATAATTCAATTAATTTAAAATAATATAAATTTTAAAATAGTAGAAATCGGTTTTTAAGTTTAGTGAACTTAGGGAAAAAAATGGTTTGGTTTGCAAAAGTAGTGGAAAAAAACTTACTTAGCTTTTCCTATTTATATAATCAAGCCAGCCTTGAACTTGGACACATGACTAATATGCATAATGCACATTTGTTTTCCAGAATAAACTAACCTTGTTCATGGATTTCAAGATTTTGAAAGTGATAAAAACAGATGTAATAATTCTATCATAAGTCAAATTCTAGACTACAAAGATTTCAGGTTTTTTCTCTTCTAGCTAAAATATTTTCTGATAAATATGTAATAAGTAGAGCTAATGGAGCTTCAAAAAGTCATCTCTATCTTAAAATCTTTGATCTGGAGTACCACTTAAAGACGTTAGATAAGAGATCCCTTTTTAAAGATTTTATTAAGGGCATATAGTAAGTTTGATTTGGATGTGTTGCATCTCAGGTAAACATTAAATTGCAGTTCAGGATACATAGAAATTCTCCTTTTTGATTCTAGAGATTATGTACCTGTGTAAATTTCTGTGCCTTATCATTCATAGACTTTTCCTTCTCTCCCTCGAATTGGTCAGCAGTTTTTTTTTTTTTTTAAAGAAACAACAAAATAAGATATCCTATAGCTATCCCCAAAAGTTTTCAACAGTTGATTCAAGAAAACTACTGACTTATACATTACTGAAATCAAAGTGCCTGCAGAGGAGGGTGATTCCCCTAAGTATGTCTATTTTAGTAATCTAAGCTCACCAGTGATCTTAAGAGCATAAGCATTTTTGTTTTACTTTCTCTATAATATGAAATGTTTGATTTAGCTGAGTATTTTAGAGGTGTATAGCAAAGGAAATAAACTTGTAAATGGATGTAGCATATTTCACATAAATCAAATTTAATATGAATACTTGATTCTTCTAAGTATAAATTTGTCTTCATATATTAATGCCAGTAGTTGGTAATCATTCATCTTAACAATGGATATTCTTTTTTTTTGTAGGTGTGCCAAAGAATCGGCACATAAGGACTTTAAAAAGGCAGTTGGTGCCTTTTCTGTAACTTATGATCCAGAAAATTATCAGCTTGTCATTTTGGTGAGTGCTTTTGAATTGTTTATTTTTGACTTATTTCACTTAGGGTATTTGCTTTGATAATGATGTTGTTAATTTAAATCATTTAGTCCATCAATGAAGTCACCTCAAAGCGAGCACATATGCTGATTGACATGCACTTTCGGAGTCTGCGCACCAAATTGTCTCTGATATTGAGAAATGAAGAAGCCAGTAAGCAGTTGGAGGTATGTCACTTTACCTAGCACTGCTTCTAAGGCTGTCTGGAAATGATTAATGTACAGTTCGAAAACTAGAATATGGGCAGCTTGTCATATATTTTACTATTTCTCAACAATTCCTTATATTCTATACTTTGAAAAATGAAAATGTACAAAACATGATCATATCAAAGTTTTCATGCCTGAGGTTTCAAAATTAAGCAGCAGTTTGTGTATATTAAGGAACTTCCGATCAGCTCACTTTTACTAGTTTTTCAAAGCTGCTAATAAAATGCAATGCTTCTTCCATATAACATGTTATCATTAACGTACTAGAGAGTATTTAAATATTTAATCATATTCCTTTCATTATGTATGTTTATCTCTGTTTAAAAGGGTATAGAACTTCTTCATTCTAATTGGTTGTTACTCTTTAAAACTCCTGTCTTCAGATTCCTGCCAGAGGCTATTTCCCTAACTTACTATTTCGTCTCTTAAGGTGCATTTTATCTACTTTTATTAATCCTCCAATAATTTCCATTGCCATACATTTATTTTCACTGATAACTATCTAGTACTTCCATCCATTACCATAGAAACTAAATGGATTTTAGTTTAATTTGCCAACTCAGTAATATAACTGTCACATTCCACAGTTGCTCATCATTATTCATTTCATTAGAGGGAAAACACCATGCCGTTGAAATAGTAAAGAAAAAAAGGAATTCCAACTGCATTTTAAAAGAGAAGGTAGTCAAGGCTGTATTCTCATAAAACTCTGCAGAATTTGCTACCTTCCAACTTGATGTGTGATTGCTAAACTCTTAGCAGGAGAGAAGAAAATTTAATCTTTGCTACTTTTTTCTATGGCTATGGAGGTCTGTTTTAATTGTTTTTTTGCTCTCATTCTTTCTTAATTTCCCTGTGTTCACAATTTTATGATTTCTTTAGTGATTCTCTAATAATTTTTAGGCCAGAGCAGCCTCCTTACTTTCAATGTGAGTATTATGGAAATATACTCATATGCTTCTTCTTAAACATCCATTTCTTCTTAAATGATCTGTTATCATACCTTTGGCTTACCATTTATCAGTTAGTTATCGATGAAAGAAAATGAACCAGGTTAATGAACCAGGAATCAAAAAACATGATTTCTTGAAAAGTCTTAGGAATATTTTATACATTTTATTACCCTAATCTTTAAAAAATGAATATTGTACCTTTAAAATTGTTTAGTTATATTCATTCAGTTTATCAGGTGTGTTGAATAATGAGAAACTAGTGTGCATGCCTATCTTTCTTCACTACTAATATTGAAGAGATTCATATATTCCTATAAAAAATTCCCATTTTTCAACATGAGCCACTAATATGTTTGGTTTTCATTAATGGCATGCTAGAACTAAACATTAAATTTTGATGATACTATTTAAAGACTGATAATGTACAAGTTTGGGGTGTCAGTGTAACTTAGTTTCGTCATCACTGAGTAATTGAAAGAGCTTACCATACTTGTGGATCCAGATCACAAGGTCTCACAGACTCTGATCTCATTTTAGGTTTCAGACATGTGAAAGACAAATTTTAAACTGCTGACATTCCGTGATCATTCGGTTTAACTACCTGCCATACCAACAATTTTTATGATTCCTTTCCTTACGTTTGGGGTGGGGGAGGATTTCATTTTAATATCACTTCAACAGAGGGTTGATTAGACCATAGTACCTAGTGATAAGTTATAAAAATGGTACTGTTTCCAGAAAAATATATATATGTTGATATTTTTTAATAAAAATGAAGTGAATAAAATTTTCTATAAAGATGGTATTTTTAAATTATCTTACCTAAATAAATAACATTGAGTCTGTCAGACCCAATGAGCTGGTTTTTATTCGGGAACACTATCTGCTTTTTAATTATTACATTGTTGATATCATTGATTTACTAAGGCAGCCTTGCAAATAGGTTCTCAAAAGTTACCTTGGAAAATTGTCAACAAGCTCTTTCCTATTAACAAAAATATATCAAATGGCATAGACCTTGAGTAACCTAAAAAGTCCTTGTGCTGTGGGAGATACTGTCTAAAACCTGGTAGTTTTAAATGGAAACTAAATTATAGGCCCCTGATATACTGGGTAAAGATAATTTACGTGGCTGACCTAAATACAGTTGTCTTAATAGTTGATAAAGCATATTCATCAGAGGTGTATTTCTCTTCAGAGTTCAAGGCAGCTTGCCTCAAGGTTTCATGAGCAGTTTATCGTACGAGAAGATCTGATGGGTCTAGCTATTGGTACTCATGGTGCTAATATTCAGCAAGCTAGAAAAGTACCTGGGGTCACTGCTATTGATCTAGATGAAGATACCTGCACATTTCATATCTATGGAGAGGTAAATATTTTACTAGTGCTCCCCCCCCCCCAAAAGAAAAAATCAGTATTCAGGTGGCTAATCTTTTGTCTTCAAACTTCCCCCCTTTTATTAGGATCAGGATGCAGTAAAAAAGGCCAGAAGCTTCCTTGAATTTGCTGAAGATGTCATACAAGTTCCAAGGAACTTAGTCGGTGAGTCTGAAATATCTTTTGGCATATACTACAAAAAAAAAAAAAAAAAATTAGGTAAACTATACCAATAGAATTTCATTTTATCTAAATTGAGGGTATCATTTAATTGAAGCATATTCTTCAAAATATGGTCTGTTGCTACAGTGTACAGAAAATATTTGGTAAGTATGACACTCTTTACATTTACAGAAGGGATGCAAAAGAGATTGCTTTGCTAGTTTCAACCTACTAATGTTTGAAGAGATAAATTGTGCCTAGCCTCCCTGCTGTATATTTTTTATATTTTAAAATTGCATATTTTTTTTTTCAAAACAATTGATATTTGGGGGCTTTATAATTTGGAGTAGATTGGTATTTGATTTCGCTGATGGGGCCAAAAATGATAGCATTCATTTTAATTATCTCAGAGTTGAAGATCTGAACAAAGGTGACTTAAATCTAATAAGTTCCAAAGGTAGAGGTGAGTTTTTGCAAAGCCAACGGTTATTCCTCATTTTGACCTGAGTACTTTTGTTTTATGACCATCACCGTCGTGAGTATCAGCAAATGTTTAGGAATTCTTCACCAGTACTCCCAAATGCTGCAGATATCTTTAGCAGAACATATCAAAACCAGGTACAGTCTTATCAGGAAAACTACATAGGTTTTTAATTTTTAAATAAAATTGGGATGTACTGCCTGTACATCTATTTATGTTTTAAAATTGAGATCCTGACTGATTATAAAGGTAATGATTGCTCTTTGGAAAATTTAAAGAAGGAAAGGATTTCTCATGCATTTTGTTTACTAGTTTCAGTTCTACTTAGCCTGCTTTTTTGTCAGCATAGAACCATAAACATCTTCCTACGTCATTAAAAACACTAAGAATGATATTTTTCTCCCAAACAAAATTAGCTTGAAGATAAAGCCCAAATACTAGTGAAATAATACAGAAATATTAGCTCAACTGTAAAGAACATGACCGTGTTATGCTATTGAGATAATTCGCACATCAGTTGTAGGTGTAGAAAATGTATGCATTAGCACAAGGTGAAGTGATTGTCTCAGGACGGTGGGGTTATGAATGATATTTATTTTCTTATTTACTGTTTGTCAAGCAATTGCATACATTTTTAGTTAGAAAGATTATTGTAAATTTAGTAATTCTTATGAAAATATAGCCAATAGGTTTTTTAATTACTGAATGGATAGAAACTAATGTATCAGATGCGTTAAAATGTGTTTTGGAGATGGCATCATGGCAGGGAAAAGTACTTTGGCATTGGAGTTGGATCTAGCTGTCAGTCCTACTTCATTCTTTGGTAGCTATGTGACTTTGGGCAACTGATTTAGGACCCCTAAGTTGTCTTTTCGTTACCTGTTAAACAAATGTGATAATGTATATACCTCACAGAATTGTGATAATTTAATTTGAAGATAAATACATATATAAAGTCCCTAGCTCATTTCTAGACATAGTAGGGGACTCTAAGTGTTATTTCTGATTCCTTCACCTTATTCAAAGCAACTCCATTTCAGTAGGATTGTGGTAAATTGTCCATTGGGATTTGGAAATAACTGTGACATAGAATTGGATTATTTGCTATTAAATATTAAAAGTAGATTCTACTTGTAGTCTTAACATGGAGAGAAGAGGATCCCAGAAGTAACCTTTCACCAAAAAGTAAATAAGCCGGGTTTTTGTTTTGTTGTGTTTTGGTTAGCAAAATGAGAGAATTTTGTTTTAGAGATGGTCTCCTTCAACACTGGGCATGTTGGGAAATTTCAGAAAGCATTTTTGTATAAGGCTTGGCAAAGTGAATAGGGAGATATTTTAATCAGTATTGCATGAGTTCTGTTTGAGTCTCACAATATGATTTACGATCTCTGTTTTTCACAAACTGTAGTACAGGGATTTATCATCTTTTAAAAATGCTTGTTCTTCACCCATTTGGGCAGTGAATTAGTTTAACTATTCAGTCATCTATAGTTAACATACAGTACTTAGGATAGCTAAGATATTATCATAATAGAAACATTCCAGAGTCTCATTTTTCATTTTACTAACTCATTTAGACTTTTATTAAAATCAGCATTAATTCATGAAAATATAAGTGCAATAGATTAAAAACAAACTGGGGGAAGACTTTGGGTAGCTTCTCTCCCCTCACCCCTCCCCTTTTCATTTGAAGAGGAGAAGAGCAGAATTGACAAGAGGACCTAGATCAACAGTCCTGATTTAGTTGTGTCAGTTCTGTTCTCTGACCACTGACCAGTCAGAAGAGATTATGGTGGTGAGTGAGGCAGTCACACACAGCAAGAGTGATAGGGCTAAGCTGTGCTTATAAGAGCCACAGGATTGTGTTGTGAGAAGGCCTTTCACTGGGTTCTTATCTGGGATTGGTTCAAAGCAAATTTTGGCTTCCAATTTTTTCTCCAACTCCGCCTTAGATAGTGGGGCAAGAACATAATGGACATGGCCAGTAAGGGTGCTTAGGTAGCTTTGGTGAGCCCTTGGAGTCAGATGTAGTTCACATGTAGATTTCTAGAATTAGTAGTTCTTAACTTTATTTCTGTTTACATTTCTATTTCTAAAATTTTTTTATTTTATTTTATTTTTATTTCTAAACACTTTTTTAAATTAAAAACTAAGACACAAATGCACACATTAGCCTAGGCCTACACAGGGTTAGGATCATCAGTATGACTGTCTTCCACCTCCACATTTTGTCTCACTGGAAGGTCTTCAGGGGCAGTAACACACATGGAACTGTCATGTCCTATAAGAGCAGTGCCTTCCTGAATACCTCCTGAAGGACCTACCTGAGGCTCTTATTGAGGAGGTGTCACTCTTTTCAGAAATATGTCCATGGTGGTTTGCTTGGTGTGTTTCTTTTTTCCATCATAGATTTGATCTTAAGCAGATAATGTACCATAAACATTCCTCTCTATGAATGAAAACCTTTCAGTATAGGGGGTCCCTGTTTTCAAACTTTTGAAGGAGATTGTTGAGGTCACTGTGAACTTTCTTGGGGGTTCTTCATGTAGTGCAGTAGGTTTGTTTACATCAGCATCACCACAAAGATGTGAGTAATGCATTGCGCTATGGTGTCACTAGGTGTTAGGAATTTTTCAGCTCCTTTGTAATCTTAAGGGACTACTGTCATATATGAAGTGTTGCTGACCAAAACATCATTATGGGGTGCATGACTGTAGTTTAACTGTCTTCTTAAAAAGAGTGTCGACTTTGTTTTTGAAATCTTATAATTTAATACACACACACACACACACAAACATGATAGTTTACAGTGGAGTATGCTTACTGGTTTGAGATGTGTATTTTTGAAACCAAATATGAATTATTCATTTTTTAGGCAAAGTAATAGGAAAAAATGGAAAACTGATTCAGGAGATTGTGGACAAGTCAGGAGTTGTGAGGGTGAGGATTGAGGCTGAAAATGAGAAAAATGTTCCACAAGAAGAGGTATGTTATAGTGTGTTTCTGGTTTGTCCAATAAAAGCAAATATTTTCTGTTGTTTTATTTGACATATTAATTTAGAGGTCTCTAATTTACACATGATGTGAATATAAATATTTTGATTATCAGGCATGTCTGATATAATTAATGTTAAAGTTGTAGATATTGGCCTCCATCTGTTCTCTAAGGCTGTGACTTTGGATTAGTCACTTTAACCTATTTAAGTCTTATTTCCTGATCTTTAAAATGAGTAGTCATACTTTTTTTTTTTTTAATATGAAACATAAATCACTGGGTCTGACGTTAATGACAACTTAATGAAATAATCAAGCACTTTTTAAATGTTAATGTTGCTGACAGTCAAAATTGGAACACAGATTTTCTGGTTACATTTTTTTCTGGGCATAACATCTCTTCTTCATCTTTCTCGCCTTTAAATTTTATAACCCTCATTTTTATTTTTGTAAATAAGTTTTTCGGTAGTGACTTTTAAAGTATTTGTATGGGGTGGGGGGGAGCGAGGGGGTGCTTTTCTGTGCCATAGTTCTCTTGTTTAAGATACTATCTCAAAGTGCCACAATTTTTACATATTTTCTAGCCTTTCGTAAAAGGTTCTCTTAGCTGAGTTAAATCCTTTGGGTTTTTGTTATTTATAATTTTTGCATTCTGTAATTTTATATACCAAAACTATTTATAATAATTTACATTCTTAAAATATCATTGATACAATAATGGTGCTTAAAAATTCGTCCTGCTTTTCTCTTTTGTGTTTTGTGTGTTTTACCAAGGAAATTATGCCACCAAATTCCCTACCTTCCAATAATTCAAGGGTTGGACCTAGTCCCTCGGAAGAAAAAAAAAATTTAGATGTAAAGGAAAACAGCGCCCATTTTTCTCAACCTAACAGTACAAAAGTCCAGAGGGTAAGAATTATTTGTCACTTTGAATTACACTAAAAGTAATTTCTTTGACTCAGATGTCACAATTGGTGTTGTGGGTGTTTTCTCTGGTTAGACTTGTAGGCTACTCATGTTCTAGTTTTTCAAATGTGATTGCCAGCTTATGAGATATTACAAAGCAAAGTGATACATGTTTTTCACTTTATTCACAGTGACAAATCTTATGCTATAATATAAAATAATGGGGTTGCATTTAATAGTCGCATTTTTCTTTTGAGGGTGGACTTCCTTTTGTCCATGCTGTATCTCTTTAAATTTTGCAGGTGCGATAGCTCAAAATGTACCTTCTGTTAAATGCAGTAGTTACTACTTAAAACCATATTTTAGAAACTGGTTTTCACTATTTGAACTAACCTAACTATTTAGAAATGGGTTTAGAAATCCTGCAGTGAAAGTCCTGCAGTGAAAGTCCTGCGTTCAGGCTTCTGTGTATCATTTGTTATAGTTAATGACATCACTTGCATTCCTTATACTGCTTTAGGTGTTAGTGGTTTCATCAATTGTAGCAGGGGAATCCCAGAAACCTGAACTCAAGGCTTGGCAGGTAGGAAAACATTCCTTGAAAAATACATTTTAAGTTTATATTTTAATGTTTATTCCCCTTGTTAAGAAAAACTACAAATGATCATCAGGGTTGCGGGCTGGTGGAGGAGTGTTTGTGGGTATGTGTATCCATTGCCCTGGCGATAAAGCTCAAATGCCCTCATGCCGCTTATGAGGCCTTTCCCGGTTACTTGTCCAGTGTCATCCCTCATCAGTCTTCCCCTTTGCTTGAGCCATACTGAAGTACTTTGAGTCCACTGAACATTACCATACTCTCTGTTGTTTCTAGATGTATGCACAGGTTTAGTCTGCCTGGAGCACTCTTTCTCCTCCACTTGTCATCTTGTTTTGGCCTTTCTTCTTGTGAAGCTTTCCTTCCACAGGTTCCCCACCCATGACTGGGTCAAGAGCCTTCCCCTTCCACGCTCCAGGCTGCTCACCCCTGGCATAGTACTTATATGTAGATATTTACTTGTTGATCTCCTCAACCATATTGTAAGCTCCCTGAGGGCAGGGCCTCCTACTTGGCCCATGAGAACTATTTATGGAAAAGATGTTACGACTCAAGAGAGTAAAAACAAAAATGCCATTTTACAAAGAGAACATAACTGCAAGAAGGTGATTGGATATTCCTCTCTGCTGGGCAGCTTAGTTCTCATCACAATACAGGGGATCAGTTTTTCCTTGTGTCCATATTGAAATCCACCATTCTACTCTTGCCTTTCTTCATTGTAATTTACTATTCAGGTACATTTCTGAGGTGCTTAAATTAGAGTGGCCCTTTGGTAGTCCAACAGTTTGGACAAGTTGCAAGAGGAAATATTTTTCAGTGATTTGGTCCAAAGTCAATCTGACTAAATCTGTAACATAGGATTTTAAAGCTTATTTTGGTCATATTTGCCCCAAAGGGAAGGAATAGCATTCCAGCATATGGTATTTTGGAAAATAATATGGTTAATGGCTTTGTAACAAATAAAGTTAGTTAGAGAAAAAAATTCAACAGCCAACTCAACGTTTTTGAGAAAACAGATCTGGTCATAGACCTGATTATTTCCATAATTCATATATTATTCAATGAAAAAAAAAAACTATGAAGACCATGGGTTTTCAGTGTCACCTGATTCTCCAGGTGGTCATTGCCACTAGGAGGCATTGCCTTGCCTGCTTGGTGAAGGTCAGTCTGCTAGCAGTATTTCCTAATTTTTCAGTTTTGTTCCCCAACAGCCACATTCATGTGGAGAGGAAAAAAAAAAAAAAAAAAAAAAAAAAACTGTTCTAGCCCCCATATACCTTTAAGATGCTGTATACTAAATGTAAGCAGGCAAAAGCAGCCCAACAGTAGCCATACCTATCAAATGAATGCTCTTTGTAAAAGTGATACTTTGCTCAAGGGACAGCTTCTTGGCTTCTCACACCATTTAACTTTGTCGAGAAAATCATAATATATCCATATCAAAGCTTTTCATTATTCACTTGTGAATATCAGTAATCATGAGTAATTTCTTCAGTAGCAAAATATTAAACTATTCTCAACTTTGAATTTCTGTTGTAATTGCCAGCTTTTAGTTTGCACAACTGTAGGTAGGCTTGCCTATAAGTTGTGACAAGAAATAGGTTTTTTCTTTCTTTTTCTCATTTATACTGATGGGCTAAAAGTACAGATATTTAGTAAGCACCTTTTAAGTATCTAAAGTAGTATCCATGGAGAGAAGATCAAACCTTCCTTATGATTCAAGCTTTTAAAATTTTCAGAGTATGTTATTGAAATGTGTATGGGCTTGTTAAATTTTATGCTCATGGGTGTGTCTAGATTTTTTATTTCACTGATTAATTACACAAGTGCATTTTTATTTATTCTAATTCTTTTTTGTTTGTGTTTTGCTTGTATTCTATTGACTTGATTAGCAAAATTGATTTAGTTTTTACTTTTATACCCTGGTATCTGATTTAAACTTTTTTTTTTAAAGAATTTGATCTATATAAACCTACAGTAAATGAATTAGTGTTTTATATAGTGAATGAATTAGAGCATTTTGAACTATCTGTTTTGTTTATGCATCTCGTGTTAAAGCTTGTATAATTTTGAATCATATAATTTGTGATTTCACCAACATTTAATAATAGTCTTTAAGAAATAATAATCTGATGCATTGAAGGGGTTGCTATATTGATCTGCCCTTATTCACAGTAGATGTGTAAAATATTCCAACTACTCTTGTTTTCATGTATTGATTTATATTTTCAACAAACATTTGTGTACCTATTGTTCAGCAGACCCTGTGCTAGGAATTTAGTCATTATTTGTGTTTTTCAGATTAATTCATCATTAATTTTATAGGATCATTGTTGCAATTTCTTTTTCAGGGTATGGTACCATTTGTTTTTGTTGGAACAAAGGACAGCATCGCTAATGCCACTGTTCTTTTGGATTATCACCTGAACTATTTAAAGGTGAGAACAGGAAGAACTTTAACTTCTGATTCTTTTGTACTAAAATATAAAAACTCCATAGTAAATCTTTCAGCAATTAGAGTTCATTCTAGCCTTTGCATAACAATGTATGACCTGTAAAAAAATAGAGAAAATACTCACTTTGTTTAGCTTATATTCCTTCTAAAAACACAGCTCAATTTTTCATCATTACCAATTTGAGGACCAGCATCCCAGTTCTCAATAAATTTCCATTTTTCCCTTTATTCTTCTGTTAAACCCTTACACTCAATTTAGGTGATCCTGTACATAGCCTTTTAATCCAGTTGATCCTTTCTACCTTTTGTGAGTATTTTTCAGGCCAAAGTCTGTGTCTGTAACACTTGACTTTGTTGTCCCTTGTATTTCATTTATCAAGGAAATCCCTGTGTTCCATGAAGTCCTCTATTTAAATGTTTGCTCTTCATATTTTTCTCTCTACTCTGTTATTCAAAATATGAACTGTTTGTTCTTCTTGTAAATGCTGGTTTTAGTTACTGTTTGTACAGTTATGCCTCCTCTAGATTACATGCTGGACAATAGTACCCAGGAGGCTACAAGGTGTAGTGGAAAGAGTAGTGGATTGGCAATCCAGCAATTTGCTTCTAGTCTCTCTTTAGCCTTGAACTAGCTATGTGACTTTAGGCAAGTCACTTGCCCTGTCTAGATGCTTTTTAAAATTCATTTTGGACAAACTGTTCTATAATTTAATGAAATGGAATCTTATCTACTTCATTAGCAAAATTTCTTTGTATTCATATGTATAAAAATTGTAATGTAGCGGTTATTGAGTAGTATTTAAGGAGTAATCCAACTTTCTATTTTATTTGTCACTGTCTTAATTTTTTTTTTTTTTTTTTTTTTTGCTGATTTCTTAAATAAAATGATTTCTACTTGTATATAAATAAGAGAGAAAGGAATAAAACATGCAATAGCTGGGCATTTCATTCATTTTTTGGTGGTCAGTTAATAATTAAAAGTGGGAAGGTTTCATCCAGCAAGGTTTGTATGGGTAGGATACCTTTTTGGTTTGCTTGTTTCTGTTTTACAGTGTGTTTTATGTGTAATCTGTTGTTTGTGTTTTTCTTCATTGTCTTACCTTAAGTAATTATAAAGACCTGGATAATTAGGGTTGCACTGTATCAAATCCCTTGTTCTTTTGACTAATATTCTTTCTTAGATCCTTTGAGTATCTTTTATTGGTTATCAGCAGCTGTATTTTTGCTATTCTTTTCATCACTATATCTTCCCTTGATTATTGGGCCTGGCATCTTTCACCAAAAGGTGACTGCTTTGCCCCAGTGAGATAACCTGGACAACCATTCTGCTTTGCAAGATAAACTCATTCCATGAGCTATGGCTATACTTTTGGATGAAGCCACTCACTCAGCCTCAATCTCTCCTTTGCTCAAGTCCTATGTAAAACAGTTTCTGGTTCAGAGCACAGATGAAACTCACCTAGATCCTTAACATGACCATTCTTTTCCAGAAGTTGCCACAACCAAGATTTTATGAACTTAGCTGTACAGGGGCTTCTCTAATGACTGTTCATGTAGGCAGTCTCTCTAATGATCTCTGGTGACTGAGATACCCAGTAGTACTATAGTTATGGTTCCGATTCCCTGTAGCCAGTAAATGAGATGTTTTTGAGTATATTGGAAGGACGGGGTTACAAAATGAGGTTTCATCTGCAAACACTGTGTGTAAAAGTCTTTAAGTAGACCCTAGGTGTATGTTTTGATCAATGGAATGTGTACTACTTGTCCCACTTGTTCTAGCAGAGTTGTTGTCTTTAAGAGGATTTCAAGGTAAGACCCAGCTATTTTTGATCAGCTACTAAGTAGGTTTTTTTCCTCCTCATGTAAGGAGTATAAGCATTTTCAGTTCATGGAAAATAATTGTTCCTTAATTGTATAGTCACATCCAAAGATTTACCATAGTATATGTTCTTTTAAAACAAAAGATGGCCCAATCTCAGTGCTTTGTAAATTAAGATATGAAGTGGCAAATCTATTAAATCTATTTACAGTGTGTGATTTTTAAGGTTAGTTGGTTAAACCTTAAATGTCATTTATCTGTATTCATTTATCTGTACTAAATAACCTATCACCAAGAAGTCCTAAAACTAAGCATACCTGTGCCTTAACAGTGGAATAATTGGATATTAGTACCAAATCAAGCAACTTTAAATTTTATTCAATATAACGTTAATGCTGAATATTTTTGTTATATCTTGTGATATCAATAATGTTATCTATGGTAATTTTCTTTTTAAGGAGACCATACAATTTGCTGATATTTCTGTGTAACAGTGTTTCCTATAAATTTAGAACTGAAATTGAACTATTTCCAGTATACTTTTTATCTGATGAAAAGGAGAAAGGTATTATTAAGTAAAATGTCAAATTATTTTTACTGTTATCTTGTATATTTTAAATAGGAAGTAGACCAGTTGCGTTTGGAGAGATTACAAATTGATGAGCAGTTGCGACAGATTGGAGCTAGTTCTAGACCACCACCAAATCGTACGGATAAGGAAAAAGGCTATGTGACTGATGATGGTCAAGGAATGGGTCGAGGTAGTAGACCTTACAGAAATAGGGGGCACGGCAGACGCGGACCTGGATATACTTCAGGTACAAACTAAGCATTTTACTCAGTAACTTTATCTGTTCCTAGACTTAATTGCTGCTAATCTCTAATATTCATTAGAACCCCATTACAACAGTTTCTCACTACGCGGTTTCCAATTCTCAATGGGTCAAACTGTGTTGCAAGAGACTCACAGAGTTAAAGCCTGATAATGACACATACAGTTCACAGGGCAGGTGTGAGTTCTGTCCATGTTCTGATTGGGGATAAATCTGCTTACGCCCTTGTGTGTTTATGACTTTCTTAAGGCCTCTTCTGATTTTATTATTGTATAGACAAAACTTTTTTTATTTGTGTACTGTGGCTCATTTTTTGTCAGGCATGTGCTGGTCATACTTGCTGGATGGACTGTGTAAATCAGGGTTCTGCAGCCTATGGCTCATAAAGTGATTTTGAGTGGCATGGCCAAAGTCAGCCCTAGGCACAGTCAAGAAGTAGGCGAAGTTTCTCTTTGTCTTCCCAGCTCTTCTGTCTGCGCTTCTTTCTCTCTCCCAGTACCTTTCAGTGAACCCAGTTCCCACCTGTCAGTGCCTACTGTCTTTCCTGCTTAACTGTGTATCTACTATGTAACTTGCTATGATGGTGTAAGGTATAATCCATCTCACAAATATTTGCATTTCAAAAAGGAACTCTTTAAGATGGAAAAGCCTTCAAGATCCACAGGAATGAAGCTATAATGGTGAAGCTATAATTGGTCATTAGCTCCAACAGAGGAAGAGAGAGAGGTAGTAGAGTGGATATTCTGGAGTTGGGGAGAGATACCTACTCCTAAGGCCAACCTTGAACCTAACCCCTAACCCTTCTCCCAACACTCTGTTCTTTTTACCAATGGATTTTCACCTCATAGTGGAATTCTTTTCCCCACTCCCATCCTCTATGTCATTAACCCCCTCAGGCATAATGAGTTTATTATAGTAGTCCTTTATTAATGATCAGTTATTCCAGTGGGAGTGGGAGGGAAGGTTGTGGACCAAGCATCAATCAAGTGTATCCCTGTTCAGCTAGGTCCAATCCCTTACTCCACAAAAGACCCTTTTCTGATACAGTTGCCTTAGTGGCCTTATTGCCATCCTCTCAGAGGAGATGAGAATGTACATTCCCTTCTGTCCTTGGGCCAAATCTTGTTAAAAGGAGCTCTCTTTATAGAGGTTTTGTTTATCAAGGTATTGAATTTAACTGTTACAGAAACTTTTCCTCCAGAGAGCACAGATGTTTAAAGGAACACAGTTTAATGATGTGGTACACTCAAGTTTGAACTTAGGTGGCTAATAAAATACTTTTTTTTTTTTTTAACGAGAACCAAAAATATTTATTACTAAATCAACCCAAATATTGCAAAGCCCTTCATTTTAAATTTAAAATCATTTCTTTGACAAAATGGAAGGTGGCATTGCTCTTTGGTGGGCTTATAAATTGGGAAGAGCATTGGATTACCCCTGAAACGTCTCTGGAAGCTTCTGTTAACCTCTTTTTTTTTTTTTTTTTTTTTTTTTTTTTTAAAGTCGGACAATGGTATATAACTTTTAACTCTCGATAGGAACTAATTCTGAAGCATCAAATGCTTCTGAAACAGAATCTGACCACAGAGACGAACTCAGTGATTGGTCATTAGCTCCAACAGAGGAAGAGAGGGAGAGCTTCCTGCGCAGAGGAGACGGCCGGCGGCGTGGAGGGGGAGGAAGAGGACAGGGAGGAAGAGGACGTGGAGGAGGCTTCAAAGGTACAGAGGTCTTCATTATTATCAAGGTGAATTTTAACAGCTGTCAGAATTTCCATGAAAAAGCTTGGTGATGCAATGAAGTATTTTCAAGATCTCACCTCTCCTGTTTTGTGCTGGTCATTATAGGGAAGGATCAGCCTTTCATTTGTGTAGTAAGTAATGATATTAGACAGCTGCCTATGGTTCGAGTAGAATATATGAATGAAAACTGATAATTTCTTCAGCTTTGGAGATTCAGAGCACAGCATCTGATCATTAACTCAGATTGAGTTGTAATGCAGTTGATCCAGAATTGTAATATCTTTGGAATATTTTCCATTTCTTGGTAGCAGGCTAGATTATTAATCCTTATGTATCTGGTATCAGTAGGCTCTTGTTTACATTTTAGATTTTATGGTTGGTCTAAACAGACAGTGTGGGAATAAAGAAATTCCAATAAACATTTTAGAATCAGTAAATGTTAAAAAATGAAATATTTTTAATATATTAAAATATTTTTGGGCCGGCCCGGTGGCGCACTGCTACAGTGTGCCGCTTGGGAAGCGTGGCGGCGCTCCCGCCG